GCCTTTAGGTGAGATAGTTATCAATATAAATATGAAGATTTTTTTGTTTTGTCGATATTGTTATTATATTATAATCAATTAAATAAGTTAATTTTTTTTTTTATGAACAAAAATTATTTAATTTGGTAGGTTACTATACAATCATATGTAGTATACATAGTTGAAAAAACATATGAAGGATGATAAAAAGCAATAACTAAATATTATGTCTACTTTTTATCAATTTTGTTTTTCCATGTTCAGAAAATAACATTCGGATTCAGTAGTGCAACAGACACAATCTTTTGATTGTTTTAAAAATATTGATTCCATCGTCTGGATGTATTTTCATTATAATACTTTACATTTTTAGTTTTATTGATAACAATACCTAATCAAAACCTTACCTTCAGGCAAAATTGAATATAATTTTTATTTTTATTAAGGTTTTGGTATTTTACCTAGTATAATAATAATCATGTATAAAAAAATAAGTTTTTAAAAAACTATTATAAACAAATTAAATAATATTCAAAAACATATAATATGTAAGTTCATAAAAAAAAATTATATAGTTATTTAACTTGCAAACGTTTAGAAAACAGTTACCTAATGAAATATTATTTACTAGTAAACATTAGTATTAGTCAATTATCGCTGTCAGGAATTTTGAGTATTTTAGGATACCAGTTTACCGTGTTTTGGTAATTAATAATTAGATACTTACCATAGTTAGCGAAAATGTCGTATTATTGTGGCCGTAGCCATTTTACTCCAAAATAGATACCATTTTCCTCTACTGTCMATTTTTCTCCAATAAATAATAAATAAAATATTAAAATAGTCGGTATAAATAATTTATACATAGAAAAAAAAGAAGATAAAGAAATTGATTATAATGTTATACTTTCTTAAAAATATAGGATATTTCATCAACAAATGAATACCTGTTAAAAGAAATGAAAAATTAGATATAATATGAATAATTATTTTACTTTTTACCATTACTCGCACTAGCGTTTTTCGATAACTGATATAGATAGTATATATGTCGTAGGCATATAGTCAAATCAGGCATTTTATTAAATGCCTATAGGCATATAGTCAAAGAATTTAATGTTTATGCAATTTCACTATTCGCCTAGAYATTTAGTAAAATGCCTAGTCATTAAATGACTAGGCATTTGACTAAATGCTTATTTCATGCCAGGAAAATAATAAAAAAACATTTTGTATTATTTTAAAAATTTTAATATATTTTCTATCAGTTATTTATTGCTAT